ACACCATAAACCTGCAATACCGCCAGTGTCGGTCTTCTTCTTCTTCATCTTCTCCTTACACTCCCAACTACACGAGGTCAGCCACCCTAACCCTACACCTCCGTAGATCAAGATCTCCTACATCTCGTTCTATCACCTCAGCTATCCTCATATCACTCTTTATTCCGTGTATCCATCTTTTCTTCGGTCTTCCTCTGCCTCTCTTTCCCTCTTCATCATCTTTATAACAACTTTCACTGCCAATGACGGTACTTACACATTTTTTTTAGAACTAGCCCATCAGAATATTGAATCAAATCACATTAATTAAACATTTTGTCAAGTATTTTTAATAATCTATTTCGTTTAGTTTAACGACACAACACGATTGCGTTGACCGGTCATAACTATTTTATGACTACGACATACCTTATAGTATAAAATTTCTATGAGGTAGAAGAAAAATAAATCCAAATCAATTGCAGAGGCGTTCCACAACATCGCCGTCGAATGGACAATAAAACTCCAACGGCCAACCTTTTGCTAAGAAAACGTCTATGCTCAATTTAGGTCACAATTTCAACTAGGTTATTTTCCTTATTATATTACATTTACTAGATTATTATTATTATTACTAATACCTTTTGTCCACAAAACGATTATCGTATAACTGAAAATCATTATATGTCGTAGTGTCCAATTTAAAATTACTATTGTTTATTTTGTTGTACAAACACATTCTATACATCTCTTTATTATGCGTTATTGAATCGAAACAATATATTCTTGCGTGTCGGCGACATGCGATAAAAAATAATTTTATTAATTTGCAAGGTATGGTAGAAAAAAAAATACATTTAAGGTTAGGCAGTAACAATTTGTTCCGCATCGATTGGGCCCGTAAAGAGGTATTTATCGAAAATGCACAAATGTATTGGTGCACCGCAATTGCCTATACAGCGCGCCTTGTAAAGAGTCTTGAGACGAAATTAGGATACATAACGGTGTTCGCAAACATTGCTATACGGCGACAATTGCCATGAAATACTACAATAGGCCTATCTAGGATGTTATTAAAGACGCGTTAAAACATTTGTCTCTGTCTGCGATTAATACATTAATATAATAATACATTTTTACTCGACTCACTCGGGCTGCGGCCCGCAGTTGATGAGATACTATATTATATATAGTGTGCATTACACAAAACCTTATGGCACGCATGACCCAATTTTTGCGGTGTATATAATTTTTTTTTTTATGATTATTATTATCGCTATTTAACGGCAAGACTGTCCTCACGAAATGCTCTTGTCGTTACGAGCTCGGCACCTAATGTTTGGCATTTCCATTGAATGAAAAAAAAAACCAAACACTTGTCTATTGTATGCATTATATTTTTTTTTTTGTGTTCAGCCTTCGACAATTTAATCCATTTCGGACCACGCGGCCACTCATAAATCGAAGTCGAGTGTTTATTAAACTCTATTTTGAATTTTTATTATTATTGTTATTATTATTATCATTATTATTATTGTTCGTTTTATGAGTAATTACGGTTAGGTACGGTTAGTTTTGCTCTTGAACGAAATGCCTCGGTCGTGCGCAGCATTAATATCATAACCTTACCGTCCACATGAAATATAATTTACTGTACACAAATGAAAAACACACGAATTCATGCAAATTTAAAAAAATTATGTTCACTCTATAGAGGTCGCCGGTGTGGCTTTTATTATTCCAAAATGCAAAGCGTCTAAAATAAATAAAGTCTTATTGAAATTCAGTTGGTTAAAAATAATTTACCGCTTTTGTTTTAATGTTTACGCGAACAAAATTCTGAAATACAAACAAACCGGAATTTGGAAAAAAAACAATTCGCCTAAAACTTGAAACGCTGGGAATAATAATCTTAATAACTCTAAATAACTAGTTATTCATTTATTTCAATGTAAAACTTAAATATTTTGTGATGTAAAAAACATACATCAACAACCGTTTAAGAACTATTTCAGACTAAATTTAAGTCTAAATTAAACAAAATTTTGTTCACATAGACCAAACATAATAGATCAACTATACATTATGAAATCGTCTGGTTGTCCTTTACCTTAACCCATACTAATGGGGTCAGCCAGCTTAAATCTTCTTTGTTTACTTCCTACATTTCCTTTTTTGTTTTTATAATCTCCAACAGTTTCGACTGTACGTCTCCCTGAAAATATTTTATCTCTCTTACCAGTTTTACTTTTTAAACCCCCGCTCCCTCTTCTTTCAATATGCCCAATTCTCACACTATTCTGCCCGGTTTGTTCTACCGTTAACGCAACTCCCAACTATTTTAAACAGTTTAAACGAAATAAATTACAAAAAATATTTCAAATCAAGGCGTTTCAATAAAATTAATTGGACTGCTCGTACCTCGTGTTTTCCATGTTCATATAAGTTCCATGTAAGTGTTTAAACGCTTTCCCTGGGCAACAATTAATCATTGATAAATTAGAAACGTATTTAACGCGTTCCAGCGCCGACGTTAGGTCGTGACGTTTTTGAAGCCTAAATACTAGATAATTTAAGTACCTACGGCGCATATTTTAAAGCCAAAATCAGGCCCATTAATTAATATATACATATTAGTATATGTGTATATGCTTAACGATTATTTTCAAACTGCGCTAGATTATAGCTTAAAATCGTAATTTGGTATTTTTAGTTATAACTTAATCAACACGACGCTAATATCATTTAATTGTAAAAAAAATGTATTTTATAAAACGCTCGAAAGTCAATGTGTAACTGACAAGATAAAACGCCTAAATCTCCACTTTTCTTACTTTATTAATGTTATTATGTAAATTACCGGATCAGTGGTATAGCCGCGATGATTGGATTTTGTTGAGTTTTTACACAACGAGTGAGAAGTACACAATCTTCTACTGTGGAAGTTTACCAGGTTTTTATTATCGGATAAAGAAAATCTGAATTAATTAATATTCATACTAAGGATCTAATAAAATTCGACCAAAATACAATGTTAAGATTAACAGTAGCACTTGTACAGGATTGTGATTACGTTTACGAGAAAATTAGTGCCTTACGACGTTGAGCACCGTGTATAGGATTATTATTATTTTTTTAACTTCAAGGCGTGTCGCTGCGGTCACTACGATTTATGCCCTTTTAGAAGATTCCGAATGGCTCTTGGCGGTTTTTGTATTACTCATAGGTAGCCATGTATAATATCATATGGTAATAATGTACCTATAAACCATGCGCCGGTGTGTCACAGTTGGTTAGTATTTAAAAAAAATTATAATTGTGTCTAAGAGCAAACATTCCCGTTTTGTTTCGGCAACGTACCCAATAACAATAATAGTAACAACGATAATTCGGCCAAGCCAAAAAAACCGGTCGTCCACGTTCATTGCCGTTTACGCTATATCCTAGAGGATTACGAATTATTTACCAGAATTAACATAGAACACAAACCGGGTTTTCTTATCGTACAGTTGTATCTTAAACAAAAAAAGTGTCGGCTAAACGAAAAAAATCACCATGGTAAACGGCAAAAAATGCACCGCCCATTTGAAATAATGTTCTACATCATGTTTGTGTAGATGAACCGCACGATTTACTGCAGTACTTGTACACAATTTAATATTGCATGCATGCATGCGCCACTCCTGGTAGTTATTTTATGTTTGAACAAACACAGAGCTCCAATGGTAATTCCTATTTTTTTTATTCACTCGGAGTTCGTTATTGATTTATTTTGCATGCACTTAGATCCGCACGCACTTCATATTATAGTGTAATAATAATTATTGATACACCACAGCTAAGCCATCTTGCACACGGTGGGAATAGTCATTAGACTTAACGCCTCAGGCGTTAAAACTGTCTAAAAATATTCTCGAAATAACAGTCAGAATCCTATCTTAGACTTACAACGGGAAAAGTAACATCTTGGATGCAATCGGTGAATAAAACAAGCCTTCTGAATTTACTTGAGCGTATTAAAATGTTTAACTGTATTACTACATAATTTCAGAAGTAAATAAAAAATCACCGGAATCACCAAAAACCTCAATCTTATTAATAATAATGTGGTTTGATTTGATAAAAATCATTGGTGTTGATTTTGTAAAAATCTTCTGTCACTATGATATAACAGAATAATTTTTAATATGTAAAACCAATCGATTAAAAAATTATTAAAACTTGAGTGGGATATTGTATTCACACTATTTACACAACTAGAACATGCAAATATTCCGAAACGTTGGCGGACCAGTCAAGCTGCTCAAGTGTGAGTAATTAGTAACCTCAAGTTGTGTAATTAGTGTAAAAACCAATCAATTATTTATATATTTGTTAAAAATATTGTTGAGACAACAAAATTGTATTGCATAAAATTTAATTTATCATTTTATTTAAATCGTTAATGCAAAATTGATAAAATAGCTTATTTATAAATTAAAACGTTATTAAATGGATAAATATTTTAATTATCATTACTATGGTTTTTCGTTCGTTTTATATAATAACAAACAAATCCTCTCTAAAAAAAAGTCTTTAAATTTGATAAGTAATACAGAGATTGACCCTGTTTTCATACAATTTTAGGTTCTACATTTTTTGATAAAAGTACAAAAAAGCAGTGAAAATAAATTAAGTTTAGGAAAAGTTTAATAAATAACAAGAAAATAATTATAGTTTATACATCAACTTAAAGTTGTTTGAATAGTAGTCGACAAATAACAAATTTTGAATAGTGAAATTACTAAAAAATCATATTTTCTTTAAATTAAATTTAAAAAAAACTATATTATTATATTTTTAAAGATCTAAGATTTTATTTAGCGATGTAGCTATGTGGCTATTTTTGTGGGGCAGTCCGGTTGCTTACACATTGATGATTAACTGTCTTACAAATTTTCAAATAAGCTGGTAAAAAAAATACATATCATGGGAATAAATAATAAAATAAAATGACCGTCGGCCAAAAAGTAAGTACGCACCTGGTACATATTGTACCCGTCCGAATTAAGCGCACTGCCGCTGTCCATTAAACTGCATTTGTGGGTCTGAAACAGACAAAAAAAACAGTATAGAGTTAATACAATGAACCTATTAACAAGAACAATCCGCAAAGCGGTTATAATTGCTATCGGTTGCTTCCATCGTGGTCAGGTGTCTAAATAATAAATATATATCCAGAACAAATTGTGTTCGCGCAAAACGTCCGGGGATTATAAAAGTACAAAAGTAGTTTGTAGAAAAGAAAAAAAACTAAAAATTTTATGCGTTATTTTCACGGACACGACGGCAAATTCTTCCAAAAGTGGAGCAACGTGCCAACGACTGCAGTGGACGTCCATTCACAACGCCGGCTCTTTTTTATTACAAAATATTGTGTCTAATACCTTTACGTACACCTATAGGATTGAGTTCTCGCCGGCCAGAGATTGTGTACAAAATATAATAAATATGCTGAGAACAACTCCACCCACGTTGTCGTCCGCGGAATCCCCGACGAAAATCTAACTTGTGGGTAAAGCAATCGGGATGGGCACACATACTTATATACAATAAATACATATAAATATATATACAAATTATATACATATTATAGTAAAATAACAGCGTTCAGTAATAACGCATCAGATAAGTCACGACGACCAACGTCTCCTTCGCATCGTGGTCGCGGTACGCTGAATCCATAACGGTTAGGTTAGGTTAACCGGTCAAGTATTATTTTTTATATATGTATATATAAATATAATATGTACCAAATGGTTTAAATAAAACGTAACGAATTTTCAAAAACCAGTTTTTGTTTTTTTTTTTCCGTTGGTAATTATGAAAACCGAAATTCTCTGACGACGTGCAAAGTTGTTTTGGCGTTCATTAAAACAAAACCAAATGCATAAGCGTGAGACGTGCAAAGCGAGGAGGCGATACCTATATTGTGGTATAGTATAGCAGTTTGTGGGTTAACCGAAATACAGATTATCTTATATGCATTTCAAAGACGCCGAGGTGTCGGTAGCCGGACTCGGAGAAAAAAATAAAACCGACCGCAGCTATTCTGGGTCATTGGAACGGGCGAGCAATTAGATTTGAAATTTTAACAAACTGCAATTTTCGTCGTCCCGCGCTCTGTGCCGTTGCTTGCAAATCCACAAAGGTAATACACTTAAGTATAATAACACACGACCGCAGACGGACTGACGACCGTTCTCGGCCATTAGCGTACACCTACATTATATATTTTAAAGTACACACGGGCAAGTAAACGCCGGGTAAAGATATTTGGACTAGATGTACTTGCGAGCTCTAGTACAATCCGTCGCAGTATATTGTCTTAGTCCACGGGGATGACATGGTAAAAAATCTTAATGTCACATAAAAATTGTGTCGAAATAAAAAAAGCACTTCGTCACTTGCCACGCTGTAATGTATATCTTGACGTATCTCGGACGACATAGTGGAGGTTCACGACATCGGATATAAGATTAAAAGCTTTTAAATGTCAACCCAAGATCAAGATGGATTGGACCGGTAATTATATAAACGTATATATGGACGGGACATGATGTTTTCTAAATCTGCCGTTACATCGATTGCGTTTGCTTTGGGGTTAGCCTTTATTCATAAATTATAATATTAAACCATTTTTCTCGTTAATTGTGTTCGATTTTCAATCAACCGTTGCACCTTCATAGTATAACCATGGGCAGAGAAAGTAAAATAAAAAGCACTTGGTATCTACTTTTATGCTAAACATTTTACACGGCCAATTTTTCTTCCAAACAAAATCCCTACAACAATCGGTACCTATGACATATCATTAATAGTTATCAAACACAAAGCCACAATAACGGATGCCACGGACAGCAAAACCAGTGCGCGCGCCTTGTCCTGTGGGATAAGCGTGTCTTACAATGTAGCCATGTTCCAGAGGATAAAATCGATTTTCACCATTGGTTTTTCAGCGTGCCAAGTGATTTTCATACTCAACATGAACATCATTTTCAAAGTGGAATCGATTACTGTGCCGTTGTAGACTTCCACCAAGTTTTCCTAGACGCATACTCGGCTCGTTGTGTCTTTTGAACGATACAAATAGGCGCGATTTTGTGGCTAACGGTACGCAGTTTGTGTCCAATCACGGTTGTTAAGGTAAAGGGTTATATGACAGAGTGGGATCTATTCGGCGCATGACCGCACACAGTACGGCATATCACACGCGTGAGATCCAAACGAATTTTATTGCGTTCTCTCCGCCGCCGGTGATATGTTTTTTTTATTATAATAATAATATTAATAATAAAAATTATATTATATTATACCGTCGGGACTCGAATAAAGGCGCTCTCGGTACATGAAAAACAGTAAAAATCTGTACAAAACCGTGACAATAGGTTAACTCGTTTATCCGTCTTCACGACAATACCATCTCCACAGTCCACACACACACAATATCCGACTTAGCCATAAAATAATATGGCCCGCCGTTCAGGCGTACCCATGGTTGCGTTTTGTGTGTTTAAGTGTGGCGGAGCATGCTCGTTTTTTTATAAGCATTTTTTTTCGATTTTCCAGGTTTATTACAAAATTGTCACATGAGGCTATAAAGGCTTAACCTCCCATTAAATCTGTTTACCCTTGCGTACAGACGGCGATGGATATTGTTAGCTTAAGGGAGGACAAAACCGAGAAGACTTTCGTCTCGTCCTTATTATCATACGAATAACTTAATATGTATTTGGAAATGCCCATTTCGGCATTTCCTTTCTTGTGAAACCCCCCAATTACTCCATGCACAGTTAGAGGGGTATGGCAAAGTCCAAAACTTCTGCAAGCTTTCAAAAGTCAGCAATCAAACTACGCCCGGTATAACTGTTATCACCGACTAGAAGGTCTCGGTCTAAAATCTTTATCACATTTTTGATTGAGATGTAAGTACCCGTAGAATGTGCAATCCACAGCAAACGTGTGCGTGCAACAAACTGAGGTGAAACCAATTTTCTCTCTTCTGCACAGCCCATATAATTATAATATATTCGTTTTATAGTATAATATTTATCTTTGACGGTCTATGTGAATGTATTTACACTTACACTATGATTGACCCCTGTGCGATAGGGTAACGATCCAATACCTGTTTTGGCACGTACCCGGGAGGCGTATGTAAATAGTTAAATAATCTTGTAATAATAATTATTAGAAGAGTTTCAAGTTATCCATGGAGATTTTGGCGTTACAAACCACGACCGCGGCGACGCTTATACAATTTCACCGATTCCTATCAGTGCCTCCGCAGTGCATTTTTCACGGAATCGCTATCAATGTATGTAATATATACTTATAATGTACATAATTACTATCGGCAACTGCATAATATAGTCATATTTACGGTCTGCAGTGTTTCTATACCGAGAAAAAACGCTCGCCGGCAATCCGATGCATCCTAATAGTTTTTGGTAAGTATACAAATACAACCGAGTTTTCACCGAACTTTCAAACGTCATGATTATAATATATTCTTAATGGAACGTCTATTGAACACACCAGCGCTATTAATCCATAACTATAAACTCTCTTATCTCAGAGACGGCATCTTATACTTAATTATTAAAAAAAACTAGCCAAGTGAGGATAATTACACTTTTCTAGGAATTATTACAACTGCATGTGATAAAATCACTCTTTCATTAACATATGTTGATAACAATAGATACATTTTTCTATTTTTCTTGTGATGCGTGTAAACGTGAATATTATAAAAATTTACAAAAACATGCTAATGCCATTTTATTAAATAAAATAAACACCATTGTCAGTTAAATAACAAACAAACATTTTTAAACATTAGCGCTTTAGGTTGAGTTGACCTTTAACAGCTGATATAACAATATCGTCCGTGTGTGTACTCTAGAATTCCACTCTCCGCACTATATTTATAATCATATTAAGAAAAAGTACATAATGGTCGTTTTACTTAAAATTAAAAAAAAAAATGTTGTACTTGGATATTGTGTCTGCGGATATTTTTACCGTTATTTCTTCTAACATTTCTACATAGATTCCATCATACAAAAATAAAACGAATGTACAATTTTTTATTTAAAAAATATTGATTATAATTAAACTTTAAACAGTTAATCATCAAACTATCGAGAAATTATTGTTTTAAAAAACGCTTGCGAAACAAAAAAAAAAAATGCCAGTCAGCGTCGACCTTTGTTGTAAATATCGGTCAACACTTTTATTTTATGCAATAATGAATCGAGATGTGGTATATAGGTACCAACAGCGCACCCTTTATGCGGCCTTCGACAAGTACATAAGGTTAGTGTTTATATAAGTATTACTATTAAATTGATATTGATAGAAACGTATGGCGCGCCGTCCGGATTTTGACAGTCTAGTTGGCGAATTTTTTTTTAATTGAACCCATATCTAGGTTGCAAAACGCGCTATACCGCGGTGGTATTCCCGGCCGACCACAACCGTGACGGCCGCCGGTACAGCGGCTGACATTTCAATTTTGATGATTGATGTTTTCTTAATTCGGTAGGTCGTTAGGCGAATAAGGAATAACCCTCTGCGTGCACTTGGACGCGCCATTGCGGTGGTTTCCTCGGAAACGCGCACCGCAATGTATATAATAAGTGTGTACTTTAATAATAATAATAAAAAAAAAATTATTCTTGAGGGGCCAAGGTTGCAACGCATGCACTACACAAGGTTGCGTCAAGTCTAGATACTTAGATATTATATTATTGTATTATATATCTTAGTCGCAGCCGTTAGTAGGCCAAACAAACACCGTGTATGAATCAACGCGCAATTTCGTTGAAATTTCGTAACTCTTTATAATAATATTTTATCTGGTTCGTACTTGTCGTGCAAAATAATAAATGAAGAAAAATAGTACCTATCGCGAAAATCAAACGCCGCCGCCAAGGCACAATGATTGCTCTCGCCGAGTCCAAATAGCTATCCGCTTATTGCGATTCTTGGCCGGCCTGAGCCCGTTAAGTTTTTCGTCTGGCACCTCTGCCGGCGTCTCGCATAA